ATGGACTAACTTCTTTACCCGCATTCGCCCGTAATGTGGGAACTCTTGCTTATTTAACACTACACCCGGGCGCCGGTGTAACGGCCCTTGCACACTTTTCACTGTATTCAGGCTATACAGCGCGTCGCTTCCAGGGGACGCCCTAGCACTTACACAATGATCAAAAGGATTCATGTCATGATTTTTTCGACAAGTTTTACACTGGCTGTCGACTATCTAACGCAACCTTCCACTTTTCTCATCCGGGCTTGGGACCGGCAACGGCAGTGTTAGAAAAGAACAAAAAAGACGTTCAAATATAAAATTAGAAACAACATTATAAAATTAAGATTAAAAAAAACATAAATTTAACGAAAAGTGCAATGCAAATTTAAGAAAAACTATGTCAACAAAGAAGAAATACCCACGTACCTTGTGACAGCACCCATGGATCTTCCCCATAATCCTATGCAGGAAATTTGTTTGTTCTCCCGAAGAAAAGAGACCACTGTTTTAAGATCATCTTTCTAGAAAGTTTACCAGATGTATCAAATCACAAACTTTAAATTAAAAAAAACAAAAACACAAGGGCAGTGAATGAGAAATTACCTCATGCCAACCGAGGCTGACATAATCACCACCAGAAAGCCCTGAGCCGGAAAAATCAAGGGTGAAGACGGTAATATTGGATGGAAGAAGAATGACAACGGCCTCATTTGCATCAGCCCTGCATCCACTGCATAACAAGCAGATTAAATACACTATTTTTATTATTAACTAAATCAAAGGCGACATGAGGGAAAGTTGAAAGCTATAATTAACTATAAAACAATAATGACCCAATTACATTCTTTCATCGACATGTAAAAGATGGGAAGTTTACACTTAAAAAGCTAAAAAATAAAAAACTCAACTTCAAAATCCACATCTCATTTTTTAAAAAGAAAAAGAAAGAAGGAAAATATCTGCACTAAAACTTATACTTAAACAATAACGTAAGTTAAAAATTGTCATTTTCATAATCTGATAATCGATTTTGGATGCTTGGCTACACGCTTGTAAATCAAAATATAATAAATCATTGAGGCGATAAAAATCTAGAAAATTGTTAGGAAAATTGCATCAAATGTTACTAAGATGCAGATCTTAAATCAAAAATAAGAAAATGCATAACATGAAATCGTGCAAATCTCTTAAATTTTACATTCCCAAGGAGTCGCCAAAATCAGGATTCAAGATAAAAAGGTAGAAAATTGAGATTTAAGAATGTAGTGGGGCTTACATGCCTCAAAAACTGTTTGGCAAAATTTAGCCTAAAACCTGGTTAAATCTTGCAACCAAATAGCCACTTTAAGCAAATAAATTCAGCGATTTATTTAACGCAAATGTAATCTGCATGTAGACAAGTGCTATAATAGACATCAGTTAAACAAACACGTTCTAAGAAGCTTAACAAAAAACAACAAACCTATTTCCATGGCAGTAAATCACACAGGGTAGAGCAGTATTTTCCGGTAGAGATGCTGGAACATATTGGCTGCACTTCAATACATGACCCCTTCTGTTCGTGAGCTGATAGGTTTCAAAAATAGCAATGTAGTTGTCAGAAATTTACGTGAACGTAAGTCATAAAATTTTCAGAAAATTTTCCAGAAAGACAGAAGAAACCTCTGTAACAGATCTCCGTACTTGCCTCCAAATCTTGGCGTTTGTATTTTCTTCCGGCAAGAGTGAATTCGGGTTCCCACAGATAATGGTCTGGATTGTAGTCCGCCCTGTGCATCACCACATCAGGTAAATAATTGAAAACATGTTGAAAATACAAAGGTTACAAACATTGTTAAAATAACTTATAAAATAATATACGCTGTAAATACAAAAGTCCATCATTGAGATGCAGTCACAAATGGCAGTAGCATAAGATACTAAATAAGTAGGCATCACCCTACTTCAACACTGTAACAACGGCATCCTTAACAAACCATTATACATCTAATGCAGCAAGTACACAGGCACAACAGTAGAAGCCAAATCAGACGTATGGAAAAAGAATAGGACCATTTTTTCTAATTAGATTTGGTATATTAATGACAATTTGAAGAAGATAAAAGTAATATTAGAATTTGTTGAAATTTATGTACTATAATTCATACTGATAACGTCACAGAAGCTTTATACAATATTCATTGGCATGGTTGGAAGAGCTTAAAAATTAATGAAAAATGAAAAAGCAGATTGCTTGGATATTCCCATCGCATTGTCATTGAACTTCTCAATCAGCTAGAGATGGACAATAAGAACTACAACATTTTCCTGTGTCCCTAGCACTCATAATTGTGTATTCCATTTCTATTTATAATAATGTAGTGTTTTTCTAATAAGAAAAAAATGTAGGGTACAATTATCATACGATAGTACAAATTATACAAATAGTGCGTTCAAACTCATGAATATTTTTAATACATATATACATACATAGTTACACAGGCACCAGTCCACTTAAGTAGACAAAAGCAAATAAGGCTTAAGCTGCTTTATTCATACCCAGCCTTACCAATTTTTTCCATGAGTCTGGCCAACTCAAGCATACGTCAACTATTTTTTATATCTCTAATCAATCTTCCATTGACAAAAAATAATTAGCATGTTTTTCAGGATTAGTAATGATCACTATTACTAAGTGCCTAGACATCTTTTGTTCTTTTAAATAGTATGAAAGATCAAGTTATAACGCATTATCATTATTTGGATCATCCTAATAGAAATCCCAAGTTTTAAGAACCATCAATGATGACTAAAATGGACCTAAAAGTACTCATTTCTTTTGCACAATTGAGAGGAGTAACATACGTTGATATGCATGTAATATGCCACCAAGCAAATAAAATAATTGCTAATGTTAAAAGTTTCATGTCATTGTGCTCAACCTTATTTTGGGTGAGTTATGTTATTTATGAATGATATAATAGCTTTTTAAGTTCATTAAATTGCAATTCTCTTTCATGTATTACACTAAGACTGCAAATGAATCAAGCCAAGTTGGGCAAGCGCTGTTCGAGCTCGATCTCAATTATTAAGAGCTTCTTCAAGCTCGGCTTGAGCTCGATCAGAGCTTTTAAGACTGTTCAAACTCAAGCTCGAGCTCGTTTATAGCTACCAAGTTTGAGTTTGGTTGGAGCTCTACTTTAGCTCGTTCATTTAGGGTTTTATCGCACCTATTAACGAGCAACTTATTAACAAAATAAATAAGCTATAAATGAGCCTTAATTGAACTTTAATTAAGCTTTACTTTAGTTTTATATGAGCATTTTATTTGAAAAAATTATGAGTCATATCAAACAATACTTGTTGAGCTTTAAAATAAATATTTAAATGATATTATTCATTAATGAGTTGCAATCGAGCCTTAATAGAGCTTGTTATCGATCTGTGAATGATATTTTTTATAAACATAAATGAATCAAATAACAAGTTCAAACTTGTTTATTAATAAAGTATTCAAACTCATTCAATTAATTAATCAAATGATCATAAATGAGCTCTAATAGAGTTGAGTCATAAGTAGCTTATTTAACGCTTGCTTCATTTGCAACCATATATTACACATGTCAGCTAACTAGGTAGAATGTTAAAAGCAAAGGAAATACACCTCACACAATGCCAGATTTTCCAAGAGGAATCATTCCCAAAAACCAATAACATTAAGGATAGAAAAACAAAAAGATTTTTTTTTTAAGTTATTAGGTAATTATGAAGGATATTCTGTTGAGGATAATCATATAATTAGCTTATTGGGGTATTAATCTAAAAATAGGCCTAAGTATAGAACCCATTGGATTCTAGATCTATTATATGGCTATCTAGATGTCGTAAGATTGAGAAGACAGGAAGTATAGAAGTGGCATTATTTTTGAGGTAGGGATTACTTTGCTATAAAATATGTCCTCTTTTTATGATGTAGTCTAGTTATAATCTTAAGTTTAACATTCAGTAGACTTTGATGTAACTCAGAAAAACAAAATAGAATTGAAAATGGATGGAGGAAGAAATTTCATTAGTATAAGAAACAAGTTGCATAAGATAGTGGGGATCACTCATTCAAAACTATTGTCACTCACTCACCCGTAAGAAGCATGTTCAACAATTACAAAGGGGACTCTCTTAGCCAAATAAGAGAAACCTCACACTTTCTCATACTTCCCCTCAAAATCCTTCCATATCGATGTTTTTTATTGCCTAGATAAAAAAACTCTTGGCTATTTGAAAGAGATTGTTGGAGGGGGATAGTTGGTGATTAGTTAAATGAGATCGGTGGTGGGTGGCAACTGCAATAACTATATGAATGATATTTCATTCACCCTTTCATAAAAGAAACTCTGCATCGATGCATATTAAAATACTCAAGCAAGGCATTAACGAAATTTACTCTAATACAAATTATATGTAATAAAAAAAGGGAAAAAAAAAGAATTAAAAGTGGTTGGCAAGAAGGATATAATACTTCCAAAAAAAATATTCAATCAGATAGCTGGGAATCACTCATCCAAATTGAAACTCACTCTCCCATACTAGCCGCGTTTCACTCACTGAAAAGGAAAAAAGCGCTATTGGCCGAATTTATTGTGATATTGTGTACCAATGTTGGCGGGCCCGTAATTCCAAGAAACATGGTTGGTCGATTGGCACTCCAACGGTTATGACAGTTAACACTCTCTCGCTCATCTGTTTGATGGTTTTTTATATCACGGAGCAATGAGGTACCCCTATGGATTGGATAAAAGCTGATTTTGATGGAGCTATTCTTTATAATGAATAGTTCGGCCTGGGGCTGGTGATTCAGAACACGACAGGGTAGCTCATTTATGCAGCCGATTATACCATGTTACATTGGGACAGTTCACAAGTGGAATTTGATGTGGTTCTTTTTCTTGGCAAATGCTTGGAGCCATGGATGTACGAAGCCAAGGGTATTATCATCGAAAACGATAATGAGACAGTAATCAACTCTTTCCAAGAGAGTATGAAGGCCAAGGTATGGCAACAACAATTGTACAGTAGTCTTGATATAGCTTTTCTTTAAGATTCAAGCAAGTTCTTTTCTTTTTTTACCCATAGAGAATGTAACAAATCTGCCCATTTTTGTGTTTGGCTAACTTTGAATAGGTTTTTGTTTGGTATACTCACACTTGTGACCCTATCTTTTTAAGTGTGAAGACTAGAGCCAACCATGCTGCACTTTTTGTGAGTTTATATAGCTCTTTTTGTAATTTTTTTGGTTTATAATAATGCAAAATGCACACCTTTCACAAAAAGAACTCAGCTAAACAAAAGAAGTATGTCATTCACTTATCCTTACACTCCCTCATAAATACTTCAATATTTATTCCTTGTACAGCCTAATTAGGGGTGTAAAAGAGCTGAACTTGAGCAAGCTGAAGGCCTGTTCGTGTTCGACCAGTTAAATTTTTGTTTCGTTTGTGTTTGGCTCGTTTTCGAAACAGCTCATGAATAAACTGCTCGTGTTCAGCTTGTTTCATACTCGTTTGTTTGATTTAAGCTCGTGTTCGATCGAATTTCAGCATAATTTAAAATTTCAAAAACTATTTTTTTTAATTAATAAAAAATATGATATATTTGTACTTCACAAATTCACAAAACACGTTAGTTATAAAAGGGTGAAATTGGAAACTTATAAATGGTAGTCCTTCTATTTTACTTTTATAATGGATTAATCCTTTTTTTTGCAGGCCCGAGGTGGGCCTAAACGAAAAGCAAATAAATAATTGGGGAAGCGGGGCACACACGAGTTTGAATTTTGGAGCATTTACATACATACCACAAATTTTTTATGTAAATACATAAGCAACTCAATGCACCAGGTGCGGGAGGGACGTAGGAAAAATATGAGAAACATTTACATGCATACGACAACAATCTTATATTTACATGTCTAACATCTAATTTTATTTTTATTTTTAAACTTGAGGGACATTTACATTCCGCCTAATCCTATGTATTTACATCCCTAACACCTAAAATAATACGAAGAAATGCGGCGAGATTTTTAGCCTTTTTAAGGAGCATTTACATACATACTAGTCAAATCTTATTTATTTACATACTTAACACCTTAAATAATTATTTTTATATAATTATCTCACTTAAGAATTTTTTTAAGAGAATAAGATCTATATTTCTTGAATACAATACAAAAACTTATAAAAATAACTATATAATAATATTATTAATATTTATATATTTAATTATCTCGAACCAAAATGAGCCGAAAAAGAAGGATCATGCATTTGTTCATGTTCAGCTCGTTTATAAATCGAGCTAAAAAAATTGTTTGTGTTCTGCTTGCATACTTAAAGAACGAATCAAACACAAGCTACATGAAGAGCCAAACATGAGTTGTTCACGAACAATGAGCATCTTTGACAAGCCTAGCCTTAATCATGAACCCTTGGCCAATTAAATGAGTTTACTAGTTTGGGGGGGGGTTGTTGGTTATTGGCTATAAAAGCATGAGAGTCGTAAGTGCAACAACTATGTTATAAACACCTCATCATATTTCTTTAATTCTTATCTATAAATCATAGTTTTAGATGTTTATAACTTTTGTGTATAGATCTTAGATTTTGATAATTTAAATTTGATTAGACTCCAAATTATAAATGTGATAATTTAGAAATGATTGTGAAAATAATTTATAGAACTAATTATTGGATGATCAAGAGAATGTAAATTTATGATATTAGCACTCATAACTAGT